CCAACCCTAACTATTCTGTGATTCTATATCCTGTAAAACATTCCCATTGCTGAAGAAATGCAACTATTCATTATAGATTCTATCCTTTAATCTCATTGAATTATTGAGGCAACTTATTCAATTGAGGGACTCTTTTTATTAGTAAGAACCTGCTGAGCCCTGAAGGGGAAAATTTGTGGACTAGTTTTCATCTTTCTGGTGCATATAAGCATTATAGAGAAGCATTTGAATTTCTACTTTAAATAAAAGATAGTTAATGTTCATTTGTTTTATCAGTAATGTTTATGTTGTTGTATTGCTGCTGTGGGTACCAGAATAGGGCACATGGCATGAATATGTTAGTAATACTGTTAGGTTTTAAGTTCCTGCAGTTCTGCATTACATCAAAAATGACTTTTTTTATAAAATCTGTGATTGCACCTTTATGCTACTGACCTCTGATCTGTAGAAGAGCAGGTTATTGCTATATCATGTTAAACTTGCTGCATGGTGTTAGAAAGTAATCAGTGCTTGCGTCCTGTGCCTGTTGAATGACAGTCGACCATTAAAACATGTTAGCTGTATAAATAATTGGTGTCTAGATTATTCCACGTATTCCATAATTCTTCTCATGACAGTTTTATTGTATCACTTTGAACTGGAGGTCTGTAAAGGTATTTCTTATGCTTATTGAGTATGTATTGAAGTTTACTGGAGTGAGATTTTGTGATCTTCCTAGTACAGATGAAGTAACTCATTCTTCCCTTGTGTACTAGTTCAGACTTGGATCTCTGAAGCTACAGAAGGTTTTGAATCCAGCAGAGGTGGTTAAGGAGCTCATTGGTTACTGTCTGGACTGCCTGGGAAGACTGCAGTCAAAAACTGAGCATCTGCAAAAGGAGAATGAAAGGCTTTTCAGCTGCTGGAGCGATGCAGAGAAGCGGTAAGTTTAAAAGTGCATTCACAAGGGGTCCTTGAGAAACCCATGAATACTTATACTGTCAGCATGGACTTTGCTGATGAGCACTTCTGAAGTCATATATAGAAAAGAGCACGAAGTTCTTCTTCTTTGGCAACAGTTTTGAGCCTGTCAGTCTACTGTCCATGTAGTTGTCAATCTTCCTATGTCCAAGATACAACTGGTACTACAAACTTTGCAACTAAAGCTGGTTTTAGCTTTATGAAGTAGGAAAAAAAAAATAAATTACCCCTTTCTTAGAATCCTCTCCACTTTCTTCAGGAAGCCTTTTGCTTTCCTTATTTCCTGTAATACTTGAGACTAGCAGTTTAAAATATTTACATTTTTGAGTGGGAAATAAGTTGCCATTGCTTTAATCTGTTTGCCTTGTCAAAGCAGACAGAATTGGAAAGCCACTGTGTTGTTACAGGAAAAAGTACCATTATTTTGTGAGAGATTTTTATAATTGCCACTGCATTTATGATCTGAATTGTCTGCCACTGCACTCTGTAGTGAAGTAATTTATGCTTTTTTCAGTTAGCGTAAAACACTTAGCACAGGCAAGTCAGAGATTTATTTTCATTTTCAATAGCTTTATCTGAAAAAATACATTTAGGAATATTGATGAAAAAATGTAGCTAATTGGGATTAATTTACCTTGAAAAAGAGAGCTAACTTTTGGGAGGACTTAGTTTTGTTTCCCTCTCATTAAAATGAGTTTCCCTTGACAAGCATAAGGCCTTCCTAAGTGGTGTTTTACTGCTTAACAGTTTATTGAACAGTAGCATATTTTATAACCAGTATGCTGTACTGCATTACAGGCTAACATGTAATAGGCATTAGTGCTTGTATCAATTTCCATGGTGGTGTGGCATTTTTAAAGAGTTTAAAAAATAAATAAATAAATCAGAGTTGCCTGACAGCGTTCGCTCTCAGAAGCAGTATATTCAGGCTGTGAAAGCTGGTAGTTTTCTTTAGTATCTTCATGTTTCAAATACCTGAAACATGATTTTTCAAAATAAATGCTGGAAGTTGTAAGGTCACTAAACTTTGGCCATATAAGCCAAATGAAGAATAAAAATAATTTTTCTCCAGATATTGTTAGCTTTTTTGGTTTCATGTTTTTTTTTTCCCCCCCTTAGTTTTTTTTTTTTATTTCATTTTGGTTTTGTTTTTTAAAATTCTTTTTGCCTGTGTCTCTCTGCTCTTTTGGCTCCAAACGCTGGACCTGATGTTTTGAGTTTCTCAGCTGAACAAAAACTTCGCCTGTCTTTGTTCAGTAGACATGATTTCAGGCTTCACATTATGTATCACTCACGATGTTCAGTGGTAAGACACGTGATGTGAAGAATTGTGCCCCCTCTCTTCGCAGAGCTAACACACATCGGCTCCAGACGTTCAGCCCCTACAATTCCCTTTGCTTAAAATCTCTTTCTTCAGGACCTCATTAGAATTAAATCATAGCATGCAGACTTCCAAGACCTGGTTTAGTTCAGGTTGTATGTAGCGCACTGGCTGGAATAATTCAATCGTCCCAATTCAATTTCCCTACTCTTAATTTTGTTAACCATCATGAAGATTTTCTGAGCTTTTACCTGTAGCTCTCTGGAGTCTTTGGAGGTGCAAACCTGTCCTGCTTCCCATTCTGTCTGTAAAATGGAAAGCAAGTCTCATTCAGGAGACTAAATCTGCCTACTGAGAAATCTGTAGGCTGAATACCAGCCCCAATATGCTGCTGGCAGTTGTCTCAATGTACCTGGGATAATCCACTCAGATTCAAACAGTTTGCTGCTGGCAGCCCTGTGCCAAGCACAGAAATGGCTTCTACTACTTCCCTCTGCAATTCTAGTTTCTGTGAAGACGAAAGGCAAAAGCAGGCAAAAAATCCCTTTGAAGAGAAATTCCCTGTAAGTCCCTTAATTTTTATCGTCTTGCTTATTTTGATTACTTAAGTATACGATTTTACCTGGCTGAACATTTCCGTGCTTCCATTAAATGACCCATACATAGGTGACATCAATGTGAGAGTTATTGGCTAGCTAGACTGTCCAGCACTTGATCTAAAAACATAAGATAAAAATTACCAAGACACTATCTGGCAAGATGTCCCATCCCTGGCAGTGCTCAAGACCAGGACAGACAGGGCTTGGAGCAACCTGGTCTAGCGGAAGGTGTCCCTGCCCGTGGCAAGGGGTTGGAATCAGATGAACTTTAAGGTCCCTTCCAACCCAAACCAGATCATGATTCTATGATTCTATCAAGATAGAGAGGTTATGGAAATTTTCAAAAGGATTATTCTGAAAATGCTGCCCATGGGTGCTTGGGGGAAGCGTGTGTGTGCATACCTCTGGGATGGATGAGTTAAAATCCCAGAGCAGAATAGCTATTGTTTTTATTTCATATAGATAATTAAGTAATAATAATCTGTAACAAAAGAAGTCCTTGGCCAATAAAACACAAATTAAATTTCTGATTTGAGTGTGGTATATACTTTGTATCAAACATCCAAAATTAGTGTAGACAAGCCCAAATCAAAATAGCTTCTAATTTATGTTGTGGTCAACTTAGTGACAGTATATTTAAACCACAAACAGCTTATAAAAATCCAGGCTAGGTACTTGCGGTGCTTGAAACTGGCTCTTCAGCATTAGCTCATCAAAATTCAATACCATTGCCAGTGCTGGGGGAAAGGTGAATCCAAAATATAACAGAGCTTTGTGATAAGACCAATAATTATTTTAGAGGACTGAGGACAAGGATAGATAGCAGAGATGTTTAATTTTTTCTTTCTAATATTGGAATGTGGAAAATGTATAAATGTCTTAAGTTATACAGTTCATGTTATCCTTTGTGAAGCACATGTGATTACGCTATGTTTAGGCAGGACTTAAGAACCGGGTAGTTTCCTTATTTTCTAAATTTCCTTATTTTCTCAAAAATCATAACCATTCTTATTACTAGCTGCTTTCAGTAAGTGGTGCAAGCTTTCTGATAGCTGTAAATTTGCGTGCATCTGGCACATTGAAGGCATTGTACTTACATAACAGATCTAAGAATATAGAAATTGGAAGGCACGTGCAAATAAGACTTGCACCGCTCTAATCATTACCTTCTGTTTATTTTTGTTGTACTTGAAATTTGTCTTTGAGATGAGCAGCTTCTTCATTTGGCCTGGGGAGATGGGTCTTCAGTGAGACAAATCACATACAGTCATAAGCCTGTGGCAAACTGCACTTAAGTTTGTATTTGGAACTGATGAGGTATTGGAATGAAACCCAGCCAGTTTTGTTTGGTGGTAGTGCAATTCAGGTAATTCTACAGGATTTTGTGCAGACAGGATTTTGATACAGACAGATACCATTCTCTATTTTACACAAAATCCTTGTTTACCATTTTTATATATACAAACATAATTACTTTCAAGCATCTTCAGGCACTTCTGGACCCTCTTTTAGGGTTTATGATTCTTTGTGGATTGTCTACATATTCCCCACTAAACAGTTAACTTTTGTAGGTGGAATGTCTCCTAGTATTTGATTAGTACATATTATCTTTCATTTACGAATTATTGAACCAATCTATATGGTAATGATGTTCTACTATTTGCATTTAAATTAGATGAATTATTTATCAACTATCAAGTATATCCCTAAAGCATTACACAGTAGACTTAATACTTCATGCAATTATTTTCTATTGTCTTTCTTCTTACATCATGGTTTTGATCTATGAACAAAATAATATTTATATAGGAAGTCTGTTGAAATTTCTAACCTTATAAATTAATATTTTTAAAATCTGTTATGTGTTTGGATTTAATAACAAAGGAAACCTCCTAAACTTTTTAACACAGATTGATGAAAAGAATGTTTTTCATAAGTTATGTCTATTTGCTATAATACTGTAGCTACCATGATCAATATATTGATATTCTTCAAGGTGTTTATTTGCTTTTTATGAACACACATATTAAAATGTTTGTAGTTTAACCCAAGGACTAAAAAGTTATGAAATACAAGAAGTAAATATAGGATCTCAATTGCTACCAGTCAGTTCTTTTATTGTGCTCATGTTTGCTTATATTCCAGTTTTGCTTTACTTATGAGACAGTATGCATCCATATTCTTAATTTTATATTTCCATTATGCTTTGTTTTATTGATACTGACCTACCTACGGGTGCACATGAACCCTTTAAAACCTGCAGAATATTATACTCTGAAGATAGTAATTAAGGGCTTTTAAGACCTTTTTTTTAATATATATTCTAAGTGTTGAGTCCTCTACCAAGTAATTGTGATCGGTTCAGTGGTGGCTGCAGTTTACCAAGATCTCAGCTCTGTGTCTGTATCTGCAATTCAAAATAAAGTTTTCAGCACTTTTATTAGTTATTAGCACTGAATGCGTTTGAATGCCTGTAAAGATTACAGTTGCCGTCAGGTGTTGCTGCAGTGTCCTGTGAGCTTTGCCCACAGCTGGTTTCTGTACCTTGCCAGCTCACCAGAACAACACGTGCAAGGCTGTTGATGGAAAATGGGCCAAGCAAAGATTTGTATCACCCAAGTCTGCCTGGAGAGTCCTGGCAAAGAAAGACTTCTAAATCTGTCATAGAATCACAGACCAGTTTGAGTTGGAAGGGACCTTAAAGCTCATCTGATTCCAACCCCTTGCCACGGGCAGGGACACCTTCCACTACACCAGGTTGCGCCAAGCCCCTGTGTCCAGCCTGGCCTTGAGCACTGCCAGGGATGGGACAGCCACAGCTTCTCTGGACAACCTGTGCCAGGGCCTCACCACTCTCACAGGGAAGAACTTCTGCCTAAGAGCTCATCTCAGTCTCCCCTCTGGCAGGTTAAAGCCATTCCCCTTGTCCTATCCCTACAGGCCCTTGTCCAAAGCGCCTCTCCAGGTTTCTTGTAGCCCATTAAGGCACTGGAACTGCTCTGAGGTGTCCCCTTAAGGAGACTTCTCTTCCCCAGGCTGAACCAGCCCAGCTCTCTCAGCCTGTCTCCAGAGCAGAGCTACTCCAGCCCTCGCAACATCTCCGTGGTCTCCTCTGGACCTACTCCAACAGCTCCACATCCCTCTTGTGTTGGGGTCCCAGTTGCCCAACATGTTTGGTGGTCATCTCAGCCCATGTTGGAGTGAAGTTGCCTATTTCTTGCCTTTTTTTTCACTGTTCAAATACATTTCATGTCAGAGTGTGTGATCCAGATTTAGGTCAAGTCTTATTATGTCTACTTGTAATCTCCTTGTGTGTGTCCTGCTAAGGTATACCCACTTTGATGAATTCAGCATTGAAACTAAGAAACACTTGACTGTTTAAATTTTAATTGTCTCAGATGCACGTGTGGAAGTACCTATCAAAAAAAGCATAAAGAGAAAATCTTTACCTTGAAAACTTTCCTCATTTGGCAGCAAAGTTTACTGCACTTTTCTGTGGAGAAAAAAAACACTTCTGGCCTGTTTTAGATGCAAGATGTTGGACAAGTCCTGCATGGTTTGGTATGGGGCTTCCTGTAATAGGAAAGCTGGTTTCATTACAGAATTTTCTTCTAGAAAACACAGAGTTCTAAAAAGAAATAATGTAACAATTATTTCACATTGTAGGCTGGAAAAATGTGTGGAGGCTAAAGAAGAACTAGAGGCAGATCTTTATAACCGTTTTATTTTGGTGCTGAATGAAAAGAAGGCAAAAATAAGAAACTTACAGAAGTTGTTGAATGAAGCTAAAGAATCGGCAGCAGCTGCCAAATATACAAGGTATTTCTTAATGTTCCCAAGTCACTTGGTATCATACCTGCTGTATAGTTTAGTTTAGTTTCATTTGCATTCCTTTGACTCCAGCAGTGACTGACTGTTCTTTCTGGCTAAGTGCTTAGTTATCCAAAACAGTAGTTAGTCATGAAAGCAGAGGATTCTTTGACACTGCAAATAGCAACATATTAACTTGGATGCTGTAGCCACGAACTAAGTATTCAATGAATCTTTCCTTGTTTCTGTTAGGTTGCAGTTGATTTTCCAATCAGAGTATGCCCCTGCCATTTCCATAGGTGATACTTCCATCATTCTCCCTGAATTTTTTGATTCCTTTTGTCCTTTGGGAAACAAAATCATTCTAATGCTACTACATGCCTTAATTTGTTTGCTGGTTTTATCCTGCTTTTTAACTTTTTAAGAACTTTTATTGTCTGTCCTTGTATATGAATATGGTAAGCTGTTCAGCATGGGGACTCCATGTTGATGTGTGTCAGCTTGCATTGGCTAATAATTATAAATTCTTTACAAGAGTAATAGATGGACAAGGTATGGGGTTTTGTTTTTGGTTTTTTTTTTTCCCTAGGGATAGTATAGCTACCACTCAGATGGCTACAGAAGAAGAAAATGAATATGATGGCAGCACTGATGAGGAAAGTGAAAATTTAACACGGCCCTCATTACCACCAGGTAGGATAGAATGTACTGTCCTTGGGGAATATCACAGAAAGGCCAATCACTTTGTGTGAATAAACTGTAATGAAGACAAAGTACTACCTGGCAAATTGCTCTGTGACAAGCTGACCTGCAAGCCTTAAAAATATCTCTCCTAGAGCAGAGTATAATGCTGGCATTTTCAAATTTCAGAAATGAAGTTTAAAAGCATGTTGTACAAGTGAAGGCACTGTCATTTCTTCCAAAATGACAAATTACATACTTTGCAGAACTAATGACAGTCTTAGCAGTATCTGAACCATCAAGAATTCCATTTTGAATTCTAGGAATCATGATGTGTGTGCAGTGATTGCTAAAACGTACTTCCTGACAGTTTCAGTGGTGCTTAAAAAGGGTAAAGAGAGGAGATTTAACAGCTATAAAAAGAGCTGTGTGCATAAATGGAATAAAAATGTATTTATAGCAGAATTAATTTCAATTTGTCAGTGAATTTTTGCCCTCATGAAGATGCTCCTGAAACTTAATTTGACTAATTTTTCCATGACTTCAGACTTGTAAAGTGTGTGGGATACAGCAATTGCCCATTCTACAATACAAGATATTTAACTGTAAATCGTAAGAAAATTTGGCAGACTAGTAGGAACATGCAGGACAAATGCTATCGAAGTTTTAAAATTGCATTGATACTTACCATGTAGTTGTGTATATATGCATATATATTAACTTCAGTTCAGGTCTGCAAAATTTGCTATGGGTTCTCTCACTGGAGCTTTTTATTTCCACCATAGGTAAAGGTTATCAAGACAACTTGTCACAGCATTTTTCTTTGCATACTGGGGACCAGAAGTGTTCAAGACCCTGACACCAGTGTCATTCAGCGTTGTATCTCATGACCCTGTTGAGGATTTTCTGATGTAATGCAAAGTAGTCAGTGTCAGAAAACGGAGAAAGTTTCAGTCATGGAAAAGAATAATTTTGTATTGTACTTTGCTTTTTTGTTCAGAAATCTTTGTTTTCAAGTGTATTTGGTCAGTTCAGATAACGTGAGGAGAAATACTTGACATTTAGGGAAAAGGCAAGGAAAAGTGTTCATTCCTTTGTTACATTCAGTAGGATTTAGCTAGATCACTGAGAGTTTTAAGGTAAGACATATTTTCATTTTAAAATGAATCCAAATGCCCACTGCTCTTCTCAGACAATCTGGACTGATGAATATTATAGGAGAAAAATAGCAGCTGTATTTTTATTTGAGTTGTAAACAAAAATGTGCTTTCTGTTCCCATTGAGGGATACAAAATTCCCTTTGAGGATTTTGATCATGAGTAGAGAGTTATTTCAGCTGCAAAATTTGCAAGTAATGTGAAGACTATAAACTTAATCCTTTAGGTAGCACACTACAGTTTTTCAAGATAAAGGCATTCTTGAACCTGCACAATGAGTATCGCTTAGATCAGTTGATTAGGTCAGCTGTGTACATGCTTCCTGTGTACACAGCTTTGTCTTTACATGAACAATTAGCACAGATAGGAGCTGAGTATCTTCAGTAGGATTTTTACATGCAAAAAGAGGTCTTAGGCAAACTGTGACTCGATGAAGAAGATAGTTCAGAGGTGAGTGGCATGAATGGATAATGAAGGTCATAGCTGCATTAAGCGTCAAGGTTTGTGAGGCATAAAAGATAATGCAGATAATGTTTGGATTTTTTTCCTGTTTATCTTAATTTTCCAGTCTCTTACTCCAACATTACGTTTCTTTTCCTATTGGATTTAGAATGTCATTGTGTAGGTTGCAAGAGTCAATGAGAAATAGAAGAGCTTTCAGAATGTTTTAGTAGTTATTGGTGAAAGCCGCAATTAAGAGAGAAGATCATAATTCAAAAACTACTGTGAAGGAAAGTGAAAGCAAGTGTGTATGTGCACACATATACACATAAAAAGTGTGCATTTGTATATGTGCATGTCCAAAATCGAAAAATCAGGAAGCTGATGCTGATGGTAATAAATGAGAAGTAGGAACTGCAGGAGATGGCTGAAAAGCTCTAAAATCTAGGCAGTTTGAAATTAGCCAATCAGGATATGTTAAGCTGCAGAGATTAAAAAGCTGGCTGAGGATTTTTCTTAGACACCAGTAATTGTTTTTCTTCAAGAATTTTTAGGGCATTGAAGGCATTCCAGGGGACTTGATAAAAGCTTCTAATATTATAAAAAAAATAAATAAAAAAATAAATAACACATTCGGTTATGGGTGTATTAGTCTGGCATTGTTCTGATGCAAGTATTGGAACAAAACTCCATTAAAGTGAAGAAAAATACAAAGAAAAAGAGTACAACTGGTTAATTACAATATTTGTAAAGGTGCAGAAAGTGGAGGTTCAAAACTAGGTATGTCTTCAGTGATGAGATTACCAGCTGGCTGATGAAGGTAAAATTAGTGAAGTAATAGACTGATTTCCATGAGATATGCTGCAGCCCCTTTTATTCAAGAAACTAGAAATGGGAATTAACATAACACATGGCAAATAGATTCTCAAATGAGGTAATATGCCTATCTCAAAATATAAATAGAAAGTTAACAGTCCTTGTATCTGTAAAGTGTGAAATTGGAGATAATTTATATAAACCAATTTGCATTTTGTGATACACCACCTGTAAGCAAGTCATAAGACACAGTGCAATGCCATAATTTCCAGTCCTTAGCTTTGACCTGAGAAAACCAACAAAGTCTCAAGCTTTGCTTTGTCTAGCTCCTCCTGCTACATAAAGCTTGGTGCTTCCAAGGATTGCCATCATCTTCCCCATCTAACAAAGCCAAGAACTACTTGGATAACATTTGCATTCTGCTCCATACTGCACCCATTCTGGGAGGGTGGCACTGTCTTACCTGGCCTTGTAGGAATCAGCTTAGGATTAGCCACATTAGTTCAGTTGGTCTCTGCCTGACTTCGTATCAGTTTGTGACTTCCCAGTGCTGCCTGCCTCACCTGATAGGGAACCACTGGTCTAGTGTAAAGCTACTTTGGGAATTAAAGAACATATAGACTGTTTTCTAAAGAAGCAATGATTTTAAATTTAAAAAAAAAAAAAAAAGACATTAAAATATTAAGAGTGCGAAAATAAGCAGATTTCCAAAGCTGTAGCAAAAGGGACTCTGATTTTTGAGTCAAGATATGATTTGCCTCCTTGATGCAGTGCTGTGTCAAATTTGGACATACAGTTTTGAAGAAAAAAGTAAATGTCAGCAAGTTAGGGAGAATAACATGATAACAGTGAAGGGATTAGTAAATGATTTAAATTATAAGAAGGATCTTAATCATTGCTTTCATGCTCTAAAAGGAACTACATTGCAAAATGATGTCATTGTAGATGATGGTCTTTCTGTCCAGCAGATATAGATGTTTAATGACTTTGAATAACTGGAACTTAACATTAGGTAAAAACAAAAGTGGGACAGGTGGTACGGGGCCTGGAGCAACCTGGTCTAGTGGAAGGTGTCCCTGCCTGTTGCAGGGGGTTGGAACTGGATGAGCTTTAATGTCCCTTCCAACACAAACTAATGTGTGATTTTATGATTATATTACTTCTGACTCTTGGAACAGTTTGGAGTGGGTTATGATGGGTTGCCTCACTGCCAGCATGGAAATCACAATGGCATGCTTTTAATAAAAAGGCAAAAACTTGTTCATATAAGCATGAACTTAAAAGAAGTACATAACCAAAGTTATGTTGGGGATTGCAAATGGCTGTTTCTATGACAGCTTGTCCTCTATAACTTCATATGAACTGCAGAATAAAATCAATTCTTGTGTCTTCTACAAAAATGAATTTACTCATGTATAAATACTCAGCAAGGCTGAGTATTTGTTTAACTTCAGATAAATTTTGTGCAGAGGCCTTTTACCTAAAATCGCTATTAAACTGTAATCTAAAAGTTTACCTAAAAATTGAGGGGTTTTGGCATTGACAGAACTGTTTGTAGATATGATTTATGGTTTGCTTTTTGACAGCAGTTTCTGCTTCAGAGCTTAAAGCCAAAATCAACTGAAGCATGGTAGTTTTTGTCTCTAATCTGCGCACTGATGTAGTTAATGCTTTGTATTGCAAGAGAACAAATTAAAATTTAATTAGGTGTTTTAGTGTAGAGCACTCAGTAAAACAACTGATGTATAAGAAAAGTACAACATTTAGAAACAGTGCAACTTTTATAAGCAATAGGATGTGTCTTTCTATACAACAGCTTTGCCCATTACGCCATGAGAATAGGGAAATTTGTTTAGAATTAGGAATGTAAGATTTAAAAAGGCACGCTATTACCCATTCACTGCAGTTTAAAATATTCCTAAGCATCAGCTATATATATGATATGCCAGGTCACTGTAAATGCCTGTAATCTCTTGTTTGAGAGAGTTTCTTCTCTGGAAGAAGGACAGGAGAAAATCCTCCTACTGTTAAGGAGTTCACAAATGGGAAGGTATGAATGTTTCTTGGGAGCAGGGGGAGGTTGCTTTTGGTTTGTTTTGTCATTTATTTTACTCCAGGGTTGGTATGATTCTGTCTGAACCACCAAAACCAGATATAGTCGTTTCTTCCACTGCTGGTACTTAAGCAAAGTTCCAGGTACTTTGCAGGCAGCTCATACTTAAGACTGCTGCTGTGCTGTCTTGTCATTTCATTCGTCCAGCACCTAGTTGCACCTAGTCTTGCACTTCAGCTCTTTAATCAAATAGCTGATATTTTGTTTAGCTTGGCTGGTGTCTCACATTTTAGGCTCTTGATTTTTGGTTGGGACCACTAGGTCCTGTGACAGTAGAATGTTCTGTTACCAGCAGGACCTGCTTGTTTGGTGGGTTGTTTTTTGGTTTTGGGGTTTTTTTTAATTTTATTGTTATTTTTAAAAGTTTGGAAATTGCTAGTCTGTATTTCTCTTAGCCCATGAGGGTGACTTGGTGGCTCAGCATAGTATCACCACACTGATGGAGTAAATTCCTGTCATTTTAAAATGCAGAAATCCTTACTATG